CTCTGCAGGGTGGGAGGAGACAACTTGTGAAGCAGGTAGAAGACCAGGACAGTAGTTCACCTTGTCGCCAGGAGATGGCAGGGTCGTGACGACAAAGCCAGGGGTGTCCGAGGATGAGTGGCTGTTTGGGGGATGAGAGTTCCAGGAGTTGAATGGTTTCGGTGTGGAAGACTCCAATCTAGAGGGTGACGCTCTGTGTCAGGTGCATAATGAAGCCTGTGCCAAATGGCTGCCCGTCCAGGGCGTTAATCTTCAAGGGAGGGGTGACAGGTGTTAGATCAATGTCAAGCTCTTGTACTAGCTGGTGATCGATAAAATTACCTGCTGCTCCCGAATCTATCAAGCCCTCTACGTACTTAGTAACCCCCTTCGCGGTTATCAATACTGGGATGGAGAATTGCTTCTGGGAGATATTTAGAAATAAGGACACGCCTACCTGCATGGCAGCAGAGGGACCCTTCTCATCTCTCCGTGGGGGGCGAACAGGGCAATGGCTGAGTAGATGATCTTTCCCTCCACAGTATAGGCAGAACCCTTTTTGGATCCGCCTTTGATGTTCGATACACGGGAGAGGAGCATGGCCCAACTGCATGGGCTCTGGAAGACTCGGACAGGATGACGGAATCATGGAAAGAGAAGGTTTCAGGTTCCTGGGTGGCAGAGTTCTTCGTCGTTCGGCGATGAGGTGGTTGATGTAGATGGACATACGAATATATTGATTTAAATCCTGAAGGTCACCTCTACAGGCCAGCTCCACCTGAAGTTCCCTGTTGAGCCCTCTTCGGTAGACGGTAAGTAAAGCAGCCTCACTCCATCCACTCCCTGCAGCCATGATGCGGAACTCGAGGGCATACTTGGCAGCTGAATTGCGTCCTTGTTGAAGTTCTATGAGGAGGTCTCTTATAGGACGACTGGAAGGAGAGCGATCGAATACCTCTTTGAAGAGGGTGTGGAAATGGGTCTCGGATCCGAGTTGTGTGCTGTTGGCAGCCCATATGGCGGTGGCCCAATCCAGGGCTTTGCCTGTGAGTAGAGCCAACAAAATCCACCCTGCCCTTGTCGGTGGCGAGTTAGTGGGGTTGTGCTCAATGTATTTGCTGCATTGCATCAGAAATCCCTGAAATGTCCCAGGTGAACCGTCATATTTTCCAGGCATTGATATGAATGAAGGAGGACTATGGGTTACGATACCTGGCATCGGAGGAGTAGGGATAGGCTGGCGGAGAAGATGGCAGATTTCCTCCATACACTCCTCTTGCTGGGTTAGGCGCCGCTGTAGCTCCGCTGAATCCATTCCGTTTTTTAGGTGAGGTATTCTGTAATGAATACTCAGGGAGGAAAAGGTGTAGATTCACGCGCAGAACACGGCAGGTGTTTATTTCGCCTTTGCAGAAGGCAGGAATTGTGGTCACAGGCAGGCAATGGTCATTCACAGGTAGGCAAACAGGCAGGATAATCAAAATCTAGGACTGAAGGCAATAACTGGTTCTCACAAAGGAGCTAGGAAAAGGCTTAGTAGAGTCAAAACGAACAATACCTCACAAGGCACAAACAGAATTAACTGAACTAAATAAGGAGCTGATGAGACCAGGTGAGTAACTAACACAGGTGAAATCAATGAACAAAAATGAAAGAAAGGGCTACGTTCAAGAACACAACGTTGACAAAGAAAATAAATACAGAACATTACAGAAAGATGCAAAACTTAATTGAATGCCGCAATATAATAACCTGCTCCTATTTTCCCTTTAAACAATGACTTACTTTTGATATTACCCTAATAAAGTTAAGCAACTTTTGTAAAGGTTTGGTGTAGGTATGGCTATTTTCAGGATTAGTTACTGCAGGCCTATGAAGGCAGTGCACACCGGCACTCCAACTGATGACAGTTGAATTTAGGCCTACCAGAGATACTCCTTTAATCTAACAATATAAAACGTATCTTTATAAACAAATATTTTGAGTGAAAATGTATGAATTAGCCTCCTGTACGCCTATATCTGTATAGCAGTAGTAGCCTATCTGACAAGTATAAAGAAATCAATGTCGATGTCCGGAACATGGCGCCAGCATATCTCTCTCTATCTTTCTCTAGGGCTAGGCCTAAGCTTTTCTCTCTTAATATTTATTTTTTAAATATGAATATCATACAGTGGATGCTGATATGCATGCGATGCCCAGATGCATTTAGCGCTCAAATCTCTGACAGCTGAACTGTGAGGTAGACAATTATTGTTTTAGGAAAGTAAAAAACAATAAAACAATACACTATAACGTTTTTAATATGCTACACATCAAACACAACAAATCGTTTTTTTGTAATTTGTTATAGGCAGTTTTTAAGGACACATAACTGTGGATCAGTTGGCCAATGTCACTTGTTTATTGATGGCGCTGGCAGCACCCAGTTGGAGGTTTCTTTCTCTCCCTCCTTCTACTCTCAGATCTGAACGGGTCTCTCGGATCCGAACCAGCATGGATTTGTTTGGGTCTGTTTCCCACGGTCCTTTTCGGAACGGGTCTCTGTTTTTTTTAAATGTATTTATACATATCGGGTCGGGTGGGAAAGCCACGGATCCATTTCGGAACGGGTCCAACTTTTTGGACCCGTGAAGACCTCTAGCTGGCACCAAGACGCTTTGACTTGTAAGGTTGTTCATAATTGTTGTTATAATGGACAATTTAAGTAGGTGGGGAGAAGATGTTATGTATTGGGACTGTTCTGCAGAGCATTATGGGTGTTGTGTATGTGGAGTTGAGCACATTCCAGATAAATGGTTGAACTGAATTCCTGTTTCCTGTCTCCTGTCTTGTCATGGTTGAATTGATATAAAGACGTGGTTATGAAACCCACGAGACATAACAGTGAACAACAGGCACAATTCCGATATAAAATATTTTTTCTCAAAGTTGCCAGAATGTCACATAATATAATATGCCATTTAGCAGACGCTTTTATCCAATGCAACTTACAGTCATGTGTGCATACATTTTTACGTATGGGTGGTCCCGGGGATCGAAACCACTACCCTGGCGTTACAAGCGCCATGCTCTACCAATTGAGCTACAGAGGACCACATATCAGTACACTCGTAACAACCTAAGCATTATGAAACTTCTATTTGATCAAATACGCCTAACTTATCAAAATAGCAATTCACTTTTATTTTCACCAAATTTGACACTCTCTCATTGCTCCCCATACAAAAACTCTCCCTCGGTCTGCTTAACGCTTATTTTAAAACGGACAGATTTTGGGCTGAGTCGACCCTCTCGCCTCTTCCTCTCTGGTTGTAGTTACTGTAATAGAACAAGGTGGGGCATGCAAACCGTTTCACACAAATGATGTGTATAATATATACACTGAGTATACAAAACATTAAGAACACCTGCTCTTTCCATTACATAGACTGACCTGGTGAATCCAGGGTAAGCTATGATCCCTTATTGATGTCACTTGTTAAATCCACTTCAATCAGTGTACATGAAGGGGAGGAGACAGGTTTAAAGAAGGATTTTTAAGCCTTGAGACAATTGAGACATGGACTGTGTAGACAAAATATTTAAGTGCCTTTGAACTGGATATAGTAGTAGGTGCCAGGCTCACTGGTTTGTGACAAGAACTGCAAAGCTGTAGAGTTTTTCGCACTCAACGGTTTCTCGTGTGTACCAAAGGACATCCAGCCAACTTGACACAACTGTGGGAAGCATTGGAGTCAACATGAGCCAGCATCCCTGCGGAACGCTTTCGACACCTTGTAGAATCCATGCCCCGACGAATGGGGGCTGTTAAAAAAATTTGAGGAATGAACCACCGGTGGACTATATCGCCCTCGTCTGCCCAAGTTGTGGAACTACTACTACAGCCTGCCTACACAATCCAAGTAGAATGAATGAGCCATGTGGTAAAATGTATCATTAAATATAAATTATTCCGTAATAAAAAATACTGAAGATAATTATGTCACTGTCAAGAGAACATACACCTCTATTTTAATTTACAATATCAACATCATGTAGTAGCCTATCAACCTTAACCCCACACTGTTTGATTATAAAATGAGCTGATATTTTACAGAACTGGAGGCTTTGCAAGACACTGACAGTCCTGTGATTATAATTTGTGCTCGAATTTGTATGTGTGCAAGCAAACAGCTTATGGTAAGGCACACATGGATGGTATTAAAGTAGGCTTACATAGAGCAGAGTTGGGACAATATTTACTTATCGCAGTTAATATGCAAACTTGAGGTGAAAGTCTAATCATTAAAATATTATATATTAGAGTTCATATCATCCTTTCATTTGATGTTATACATCAATGGTTTTGGTTTACCATCTCTGTCCTTCATCACAAATCAAGAAGTTTGGAAATCCAGAAATGGATCACCGGGGGAGGGTGTGAAATCTGGATTTCTTTTAACACAGGATTGCTCTTATTCAATGGACTGCATTTTCAAATCGAGAAGTATGTATAACCTTTCTTCCAAAGTGACTTCAGTACACTACATCTGTGTACTGCATTTTGACTTGGCTCCCTGTGATTATTTAGATTCTTGTTCAAAACAGACAAAGCATGTACAGTATTCGATATCTAATGGTTCGTTGCATTTCCCGAAGCGGAATATTTCACTTGGACAGGAGTTGATTGGGCCATGCGCTCCTCCCCATTTAACAGGTCATGCTTTCCTCTTGTGTTGAATTTGAATTATTTTCACAATGCATATTCTCTTTGACTCGATAGTATAAAACTCAGTAAACTCCAGCGTCCAGCTACTTAATGTCTGGTTATGTTTTCTTATAAGTGAGGCCTAACATAGAGGGGAGACCTGTCTCTTAGTGTTTTAAAAAAAGTTGTACTGTTACTTTAAAACAATGATGGCACGCCTACTTTCAACGCACTCCATGAAGCTCGTGGTGTAGTTGCTCTGTGATTGGAAGCAGAGAAGCGTCGAGCAGCCCGTCTGCTTCTGACTGGTGAAGGACTACCTTTCGGCTCTGCCTCTCGCTGGGCTGCTGTACAAAGATGGCGGGCGAACTGGTGGAAGCGATGGTAAGCAGAGCTCCGCTCGCCCGGGTTGATAGAAAAGGGGCTGCGTGGGAGATGGCCGGTTAGTATGGGAAACTGTAAAGGTTTCCCATGAATACTGTGTAAAAGGGTTTAACTTAGTGATGGTTGATTAATTGGTAGCTATATTGAAACTGGTTTCCCTGCGCCGCTAAGTGCGTCTAGCTAACGTTAGCCTGTTAGCTAGCAGGGACATGGAAAATGAATGATGAGACCATAAAAACATTCGCTAGTAGGGAGTCAGTGCGAAATTGTATCATTCAATGTTTAAGCGAGATATTGCATTAAACATTCGGTCCATCCACTGTCCCTTTGACTTGTCAAATAGACGTATTTTCACTATTGGGGGATGACAACAAAGCAAGTGTAGTTAACGTTAGCTTAGTCACTAGCCTAGCTTCTTGTCAGACAAGGCAATTGTCAATGCCGCTGTCCACCTCTACACGCTGCAATCCTGATACACGAGCTGTAGAAATGAACCTGAATTGATGAGATTGACTGATGTAACTAGTTTGCAAGACTTTTCTAACTACACTGAACAAAAATATAAACGCAACAATTTCAAAGATTGTATTGAGTTACAGTTCATATAAGGAAATCAGTCTATTGAAATAAATTCATTAGGCTATGGATTTCACATGACTGGGAATACAGATATTCATCTGTTGGTCACAGATACCTTTAAAAAAAGGTAGGGTCGTGGATCAGAAAAACTGTTGGTGTGACCACCATTTGCCTCATACAGAGCAACACATCTTCTTCACATAGAGTTGTTCAGGCTGTGGAATGTTGTCCCACTACTCTTCAATGGTTGTGCGAAGTTGCTGGATATTGGCGGGAACTGGAATACCTGGAACACGCTGTCGATCCAGAGCATCCCAAACATGCACAATGGGTGACATGTCTGGTGAGTATGCAGGCCATGGAAAAACGGGGACATTTTTCAGCTTCCAGGAATTGTGTACAGATCGTTGCGACATGGGGCTGTGCATTTCATTTTGAAACGAGGTGATGGCAGCAGATGAATTGCACGACAATGGGCCTCAGGATCTCGTCATGGTATCTCTGTTTATTCAAATTGCCATTAATAAAATGCAATTGTTCGTTGTCTGTATCTTATGCCTGCCCATACCATAACCCCACCGCCACCATGGGCACTCTGTTCACAACGTTGACATCAGTAAACCGCTCGCCCACACAATGCCATACACGCTGTCTGCCATCTGCCCGGTACAGTTTAATCCGTGAAGAGAACACTTCTCCAGCGTGCCAGTGGCCATCGAAGGTGAGCATTTGCCCACAAGTCTGTTACGACGCCGAACTGCAGTCAGGTCAAGACCCTGGTGAGGACGAAAAGCATGGAGATTAGCTTCCCTGAGACGGTTTCTGACAATTTGTGCAGAAATTCTTAGGTAGTGCAAACCCACAGTTTCATCAGCTGTCTGGTGGCTGGTCTCAGACGATCCTGCAGGTGAAGAAGCCGGATGTGGAGGTTCTGGGCTAGCGTGGTATGCGGTTGTGAGGCCGGTTAGACGTACCACCATTGGATGCGGCTTATGGTAGAGAAATGAACATTCAATTATCTGGCAATAGCTCTGGTGGACATTCCTGCAGTCAGCATGCCAATTGCACGCTCCCTCAAAACATGGGACATCTGTGGCATTGTGTTGTGTGACAGAACTGCACATTTTAGAGTGGCCTTTTGGGATGTGCACAACATTTGAGAGAAATAGCATTTTCTGCGTATGGAACATTTCTGGGATCTTTTATTTCAGCTCATGAAACATGGGACCAACACTTTACATGTTGCATCTATATTTTTGTTCAGTGTAGATAACTAAATAGCTAGCTATATGCATTGTTGGGTCTTCAAATGCACTGACGGTGTTGTCCTACACTACTTAAAGGAGGCACCAGTCTAGGTTTTGTTTGCAGGAAAGATATTCAATGTATGGTGTTAGGAACAGAAGGGGCTCATGGGTCATGCTACTGAATTCTGGAGGGTAGGGAGGAAAAAATATTACTCCAAGCAGGTACACTTACACAGATACACTATATATACAAAAGTATGTGGACACCCTTTCAAATTAGTGGATTCGGCTATTTCAGCCACACCCGTTGCTGACAGGTGTATAAAATTGAGCACACAGCCATGCAATCTCCATAGACAAACATTTGCAGTAGGATGGCTTTACTGAAGAGGTCAGTGACTTTCAACGTGGCATCGTCATAGGATGCCACCTTTCCAACAAGTCAGTTCGTCAAATTTCTGAAGTGAAATCGTCTAGGAGCAACAACGGCTCAACCGCGAAGTGGTAGGCCACACAAGTTCACAGAAGGGGACCGCCGGGTGCCGAAGAGCGTAAAAATAGTCAGTCCTCGTTTGCAACACTCACTACCGAGTTCCCAACTGCCTCTGGAAGAAACGTCTGCACAATAACTGTTCGTCGGGAGCTTCATGAAATGGGTATCTATGGCCGAGAAGCCGCACACAAGCCTAAGATCACCATGCACAATGCCAAGCGTCGGCTTGAGTGGGGTAAAGCTTTCCGCCATTGGACTCTGGAGCAGTGGAAACACGTTCTCTGGAGTGATGAATCACGCTTCACCATCTGGCAGTCCAACGGACAAATCTGGGTTTGGAGAATGCCAGGAGAACGCTACCTGCCCCAATGCATAGTGCCAACTGTAATATTTGGTGGAGGAGGAATAATGGTCTGGGGCTGTTTTTCATGGTTCGGCCTAGGCCCCTTAGTTCCAGTGAACGGAAATCTTAATGCTACAGCATACAGTGACATTCTAGATGGTTCAGTGCTTCCAACTTTGTGGTAACAGTTTGGGAAAGTTTCAGCATGACAGTGCCCCCATGCACAAAGCGAGGTCCATACAGAAATGGTTTGTCAAGATCTTTGTGGAAGAACTTGACTAGCCTGCACAGAGCCCTGACCTCAACCCCATCGAACACCTTTGGGATGAATTCGGAACGTCGACTGTGGGCCAGGCCTAATCGCCCAACATCAGTGCCCAACCTCACTAATGCTCTTGTGGCTAAATGGGAGCAAAGCCCGCAGCAATGTTCCAACATGTAGTGGAAAGCCTTCCCAGAAGAGTGGAGGCTGTTACAGCAGCAAAGGGGGGACCAACTCCATATTAATGCCCATTATTTTGGAATGAGATATATGACGAGCAGGTGTCCACATATTTTTGTGTGCACAGCTCATCAAATCAATTTTTTTTGGTCACATGCACATATTTAGCAGGTGTTATTGCGGGTGTAGCGAAATGCTTGTGTTCCTAGCTCCAACAGTGCAGTAATATCTAACAATTCACAACAACACACACATATTAAAGTAAAGTAATTTAAATATTAGGATGAGCAATGTCAGAGTGGCATTGACTAAAATACAGTATATACATATGAAATGAGTAAAACAGTATGTAAACATTATTCAAGTGACCAGTGATTCCATGTATGTACATAGGGCAGCAGCCGCTCAAGGAATCCAGATGGTAATCCTAAACCTCCCCTCTTCTTCCTATCCCTCTCTCCTTTGTGTCTTCCCTCCAGAATATGGTGAAGAGTTTCCGGGTGTCTGACCTGCAGACGCTGCTGGCCTCCATGGGCCGCAGTAAGAGCGGTCTAAAGCATGACTTGGTGGGACGGGCGCTGAGGCTGGTGCAGACAGAGTACAGCCCAGAGCTTCTGAAGAACGTGCGGCAGCTCTACGAGTCACGCTTCCCCAAGGCGTCGGGTTGGCTGGCTGCTCGGCGCCCAGAGGGGGTCCCGGTGGCCTACTCCTCTCTCAGCTCGTCCCCCACGGGCACTCAGGGCGCAGACTACCTCAACGGCATCCCCAAGCTGTCCTCCACACCTGCGGCTGAGGTCAAGCTGGTGTCGCTGCCCTTCTACCAAACTCTGGAGACGCTGTTGCCGCCAACAGAGCTAAGTGAGTGATTTTTGTCAGTGAGATGTGGAGAGCTTTCGGGCTAGTCAAGTCCTTGTAGAGAGGCCAAAAAGTTCCTGGTCAGTGAAAAAAACCTGTCCGACACAGATATTAATGACAGAAACATGACATTACAATGAAAAGTGCTAAGGACATTTTGGACATTGCGAAGCACAGTGATGTTGTGGTCTTTAAGTGTGTATGTATCTTTTTTCTTCTGCATCTGTCCTTGTAGTTGCCCAGAACAATGAGAAACTGCAGGACAGTCAATGCATATTTGAATTAACACAGAGCCAAGCGGACCAAGTCAGAAACTCAACGTGAGTTTAACACTTTTATTCAAAGTTAACTGTGTCTATTCTGCTTGTGACTTTCAATGAGCACTGAGGGGTACCATAACTTTCCCTCCCTTGTTGTTTCAGTGAGCTTCGACCAGGAATGAAGGCAATACAGGTGGTTCTTAGGTGAGTTTACAAGAGTTCTCAACTGTTCTACACACAACAGCACACCAATCCCACTCTTAATACAATTGCATAGGTCATTTTCGGTACATACAGTTGATTTGCACATATCAAGTTGGCAGTTAAAGCCTATGCTAGATCACTAGCTAGGTTTCCATCAATTTGTTGAAAGATTTTGAAGTGAATATTCTAACATCCAAACAAAAAATATGCACATTTTACCAGCAGTGGTGGGTTTCCATCAAACTGGCTTCTTGTGAATTAAAAGGGGTCGGCAGGTAGCCTTGAGGTTAGAGCGTTGGGCCAGTCACCGAAAGGTTGCTGGTTCGAATCCCAAAGTCCACAAGGTGAAAAATCTGTCGCTGTGCCCTTGAGCAAGGCACTTAACCCCAATTGCTTCAGGGGCAATGGACAATGGTGACCGTGGCCGTGATCTCATTCGATGCGGGTGTGTCTTGGGAGAGTTGGAATATGCAAGAAACACATTTCCATTACACACTTGTAGAAATGTGTAGCAGGACAAATATATTATTCTTAAAAGCTGTGAGTAATGACACAGTATAACTTCATTTACCAAATAAAAAACCGAAGTATGATGTGTTCCATCCCATTTTTAACTCTAGATGGTTTTGGCACAAAAGTCTGCGATAAACAGCAAATGTGCCCACTTTGGTCTTGGCACATGCGCTCTAGACAACAGCTTGCAGATGCAGCACAGATTATGAGATTATGGATAAGAGTGAGACAGTTTTTATTTGTCAATTTACAGTCAACCATCAACCATCATGCCACCAGCATAACATTATGCTCTGTGCATGCCAGTCAAGTTGTTCCACACCGATCCCGACAAACCATTTCTGAATGGACCTCGCTTTGTGCACGGTGTCATTGTCATGCTGAAACAGGAAAGGGCCTTCCCCAAACTGTTGCCACAAAGTTGGAAGCACAGAATCGTCTAGAATGTCATTGTATGCTGTAGCATTAAGATTTCCCTTCACTGGAACTAAGGGGCCTAGCCCGAACCATTATTTCTCCTCCACCAAACTTTACAGTTGGCACTATGCATTGGGGCAGATAGCGTTCTCCTGGCATTCGCCAAAACCAGATTCGTCCATCGGACTGCCAGATAAATGGTGAAGGGTTATTCATCACTCCAGAGAACACGTTTCCACTGCTCCAGAGTCCAATGGTGGCGAGCTTTACACCACTCCAGCCAACGCTTGGCATTGCGCATGGTGATCTTAGGTTTGTGTGCGGCTGCTCGGCCATATACACCTGTCAGCAACAGGTGTGGCTGAAGTAGCCGAATCCACTAATTTTGAAGGGGTGTCCACATTCTTTTGTATATATAGTGTAGCATTGCTTGACTGCAACATGATGGTTATTCTATCAGGAAATGTGCATCAAAGCGTTCTACTGCATTTGTCACATGGTGTATTTCACAGATTAGAAAAATTATTCACCCCTGTCTAGCGTATTTTGTTCTGTCGACATTTGGAAAGTTTACAGACAATTATACAGTTTCTATCAGGCCTGTTGTGAGTTTTTCTGACGGTACTTTACTCACTTAAAAATGGTTGGGAACCTGGCTACAGTTGTTGTGGATGCATGTTTATTTTGCATAGAATTTTAGAAACTTGCATTTTGAGAAACTTGCATGAGTTTGCGGTTTTCCTCTACTGTGTCCTTGTTTATCAAGTCCAAACAAAACGGTGTACATTTTGTGATGCGTGTATTGAATGACAAATCTGACCACCACAACCATTCAATGAGAGTGGCTCAGTGTCTAAGAAGCTTACATATGTTGCCACCTATCTAACACTGATAACCATTGATAACCTCCTGTGCTGTTGCTATGATCCTTTACAGAATCTGTTACACAGACTCCATCGGTGTCCAGGAAGATCAGTACCCTCCCAATATTGCTGTCAAAGTCAACCAGTCCTACTGTCATGTACCAGTAAGTAATCAAGCTGGGAAATCCCATGCCATCAGGCAAACAAACAAACCAAAAAATGCCTATATCTTGGTTGCTAAACATGTCTATATTTGTTCTGTACAGGGTTACTACCCGTCTAATAAGCCAGGTGTGGAGCCACGTCGGCCCTGTCGTCCAGTCAACATCACACCCTGGTTACACCTCTCCACTGCCACCAACCGGGCCACCGTCACATGGGGCAACTTCGGCAAGGTCAGCCTCTGGTTCAAACTTTGCGCTGTTATTTTAAAACCTTGCCAAGAGGCGATGCTTTTTGCACATCTAAAAGTAAACTTTGTGTGATGTACACAATGTAATTGCAAGCTGCTTTGATTCATTTCCATGACAAGTATTTGAAATGATGTGATTTGTTTTTGGTAGCAGTCCAAATGTTGACAGCTTCAGAGTGTTCATTCTGCTCAGTGCTCACTCATGTCCTCTGGTCCTGTGTGCAGCGCTACTCAGTGGCAGTGTATTTAGTCAGGGTCTTCACATCAGCAGAGCTCTTCAGCCAACTTAAACACTGCTCAGTGGAGAGTGCAGAACGCTGTCGTGAACGCAGTAAGTGGCCTCACCATTTTTCTCTCTCATGCTTAATTGCATTTGAGTAATGTTCACACCTGTTTACACCTGTGCTGTGTGACGTTGAACTACTTTCTTTCTGCTGTGTCCAGTCCAGGACAAGCTACGCTTTGATCCAGAGAACGAGATCGCCACCACAGGGCTACGGGTGTCCCTCATCTGTCCTGTGAGTATCTGCACTCCCACCTCAAGCCATACAGTGGGGAAAAAAAGTATTTAGTCAGCCACCAATTGTGCAAGTTCTCCCACTTAAAAAGATGAGAGAGGCCTGTAATTTTCATCATAGGTACACGTCAACTATGACAGACAAAATGAGAAAAAAAAATCCAGAAAATCACATTGTAGGATTTTTAATGAATTTATTTGCAAATTATGGTGGAAAATAAGTATTTGGTCAATAACAAAAGTTTCTCAATACTTTGTTATATACCCTTTGTTGGCAATGACACAGGTCAAACGTTTTCTGTAAGTCTTCACAAGGTTTTCACACACTGTTGCTGGTATTTTGGCCCATTCCTCCATGCAGATCTCCTCTAGAGCAGTGATGTTTTGGGGCTGTCGCTGGGCAACACAGACTTTCAACTCCCTCCAAAGATTTTCTATGGGGTTGAGATCTGGAGACTGGCTAGGCCACTCCAGGACCTTGAAATGCTTCTTACGAAGCCACTCCTTCGTTGCCCGGGCGGTGTGTTTGGGATCATTGTCATGCTGAAAGACCCAGCCACGTTTCATCTTCAATGCCCTTGCTGATGGAAGGAGGTTTTCACTCAAAATCTCACGATACATGGCCCCATTCATTCTTTCCTTTACACGGATCAGTTGTCCTGGTCCCTTTGCAGAAAAACAGCCCCAAAGCATGATGTTTCCACCCCCATGGTTCACAGTAGGTATGGTGTTCTTTGGATGCAACTCACCATTCTTTGTCCTCCAAACACGACGAGTTGAGTTTTTACCAAAAAGTTCTATTTTGGTTTCATCTGACCATATGACATTCTCCCAATCCTCTTCTGGATCATCCAAATGCACTCTAGCAAACTTCAGACGGGCCTGGACATGTACTGGCTTAAGCAGGGGGACACGTCTGGCACTGCAGGATTTGAGTCCCTGGCGGCGTAGTGTGTTACTGATGGTAGGCTTTGTTACTTTGGTTCCAGCTCTCTGCAGGTCATTCACTAGGTCCCCCCGTGTGGTTCTGGGATTTTTGCTCACCGTTCTTGTGATCATTTTGACCCAACGGGGTGAGATCTTGCGTGGAGCCCCAGATCGAGGGAGATTATCAGTGGTCTTGTATGTCTTCCATTTCCTAATAATTGCTCCCACAGTTGATTTCTTCAAACCAAGCTGCTTACCTATTGCAGATTCAGTCTTCCCAGCCTGGTGCAGGTCTACAATTTTGTTTCTGGTGTCCTTTGACAGCTCTTTGGTCTTGGCCATAGTGGAGTTTGGAGTGTGACTGTTTGAGGTTGTGGACAGGTGTCTTTTATACTGATAACAAGTTCAAACAGGTGCCATTAATACAGGTAACGAGTGGAGGACAGAGGAGCCTCTTAAAGAAGAAGTTACAGGTCTGTGAGAGCCAGACATTTTGCTTGTTTGTAGGTGACCAAATACTTATTTTCCCCCATAATTTGCAAATAAATTCATTAAAAATCCTACAATGTGATTTTCTGGATTTTTTTTCCTCATTTTGTCTGTCATAGTTGACGTGTACCTATTATGAAAATTACAGGCCTCTCTCATCTTTTTAAGTGGGAGAACTTGCACAATTGGTGGCTGACTAAATACTTTTTTTCCCCACTGTATTTTTTATTAGAGAGGAAGTCTCAAACTTTTCAGTTGTTACTGACCAAAACAAAGAAAAACCACGAGATGAGGAACAGGCTGCAACCCACCATTTGTCTACAGCCTAATGCTAATAACATATCTCCCTTTCCTCCTCCTCCTCTCAGCTGGTGAAGATGCGGATAGGCGTGCCGTGTCGGGTGCTGACCTGTGCCCACTTGCAGTGTTTCGATGCCATCTACTTCCTGCAAATGAATGAGAAGAAGCCCACGTGGACCTGCCCTGTGTGTGACAAACAGGCTCCCTTCGAGCTGCTCACCATCGATGGGTAAGTAAGGCGCGCTGAGGCTTGTCACTTGCCAACAGCACCACTACCACTCACTCTCCAGGAATTTCAGAACCTGGAGAGTGAGAACTTCCTTTGAAGGGTCTTTGCAAGGGTATTTGCTTGTTCAACCTTGGAAAAAAACATTAGAATCTACATTTTCATTTTCAATAAGGCTATTGTCCCAATAAGGCTATTGCAGTTTCAAAAAGGCTATTGTCTCAATTCCTTTTCAGTAAGGATATTATGGGGCTAAAAATGTATGTTTTAGAGACAAAAGTATCAAGGTACGCTGATTATTCAAGTTTTCTCTTGAGTCCTCAATCTTCAACCTTGAAGGGCCTTATTGAGGACCTGGAACATTTTCCCACTGTCTCTGGACTAAAACCCAACTATTGTAAGCGTACTATATTACGGATTGAGTCTCTAAAAGAGACAAACTGTAAATTACCATGTGGTCTCCCGATTTTTAATGGGCGGATGGTGAAGTTGATGTGCTTGGTGTACATATCCCGGAAAAGTCTAACGATCTTGCAACAATTAACTTTGATAGAAAATGTAGTAAAATAGATAGGATCTTGAAACCGTGGAGAGGGATCACCTGTCCATCTACAGGGAAATTACCCTTTTTAATTCTCTACTGACATCATAGTTTACATATTTATTCATGGCTCTACTCTCCAGGATAATCTTTTTTGAAGTCATGTGAGAAAGAAATCTTTAACCAGACAGTCAGATGAGCATCTTTATATAACGAATCTTGAGTTTGAAGGGTTAGAACTATTAAATATTAAGGCATTAAACCTCTCACTTAAAGCTTCCATTATACAGTGCATTCGGAAAGTATTCAGACCCCTTGACTTTTTCCACATTTTGTTACGTTACAGCCTTATTCTAAAATTGATTAAATTAATTTTTTCCCTCATCAATCTACACACAATACCCCATAATGACAAAGCAAAAACAGGTTTTTAGAAATGTCTGCAAAAGTATATAAAAAAATATAAAAAAACGTTAATATCACATTTACATAAGTATTCAGACCCTTTACTCAGTACTTTGTTGAAGCACCTTTGGCAGCGATTACAGCCTTGAGTCTTCTTGGGTATGACGCTACAATCTTGGCACACCTGTATTTGGGGAGTTTCTCCCATTCTTCTCTGCAGATCCTTTCAAGTTCTGTCATGTTGGATGGGGAGCATCGCTGCACAGCTATTTTCAGGTATCTCCAGATGTTCGATCGGGTTCAAGTCTGGGCTCTGGCTGGGCCACTCAAGGACATTCAGAGACTTGTCCCGAAGCCACTCCTGCGTTGTTATGGCTGTGTGCTTAGGGTCGTTGTTCTGTTGGAAGGTGAACCTTCGCCCCAGTCTGAGGTCCTGAGTGCTCTGGAGCAGGTTTTCATCAAGGATCTCTCTGTACTTTGCTCCATTCACCTTTCCCTCGATCCTGACTAGTCTCCCAGTCCCTGCCGCTGAAGAACATCCCCACAGCATGATGCTGCCACCACCATGCTTCACCATAGGGATGGTGCCAGGTTTCCTCCAGACGTGACGCTTGGCATTCAGGCCAAAGAGTTCTATCTTGGTTTCATCAGACCAGAGAATGTTGTTTCTCATGGTCTGAAAGTCCTTTAGGTGCCTTTTGGCAAACTCCAAGCGGGCTGTCTTGTGCCTTTTACTGAGGAGTGGCTTCCGTCTGGCCACTCTACCATAAAGGCCTGATTGGTGGAGTGCTGCAGAGATGGTTGTCCTTCTGGAAGGTTCTCCCATCTCCACAGAGAAACTCTGGAGCTCTGAGTGACCATCTGGTTCTTGGTCACCTCCCTGACCAAGGCCTTTCTCCCCCGATTGCTCAGTTTGGCAGGGCGGCCAGCTCTAGGAAGAGTCTTGGTGGTTCCAAACTTCTTCCATTTAAGAATGATGGAGGCCACTGTGTTCTTGGGGACATTCAATGCTGTAGACATTTTTTGGCCTTTCTAAATCATATCCAATCAATTGAATCGGCAGTTCACAAAAATGATTTGCTCATATTACATTATTTCTACCTTCCGAAAATGCTTCCTCTTTTGTGATAACTGATGCGTCCTCTCTCCTTCAGTGTCAAACTGCATGTAACTGTGTAGACAGTCATTGCCCTTAAAGTCATTTTGCATGCCGAACAACCCCTGGCCATATCAGTAGCCTAGTCAAACTGTGCACTGTGCCCAGCTTTGCGCACTGACCAACGTGAGGTAGGCGGCCTGTTCCTGATCTTGCACATCTGTGCGGCACCTTCAGCATTGGCTTGCGCATTTATAGGCTTTATTAGTTGAGTGACAACCTGTGTATTTTCCTAGGTTAATGTTATCTATACGCTGGTGAAAATGTTTTACCAGAATAAAAGTAAGATACCGGAGACACAACTCATCTGGCTATACCTGCTAAACGGGGCGTACAATAGATTTTATTTTGATTGTTCAGCATCAGCAATAGTTTTGGTAGCTTGTTAAAGAAAATCAGTGTATATGGTCATTTTTAGATATACAGGGTAAAGTTGATAATTTCATAATGAGGACAGCAATCTCTTTTGCGAGGCACACTGCAAATACCAGAATCTAACCCCCCCCCCCCCCCCCAAATTGTAAAGTGGTTATCCCACTGGCTATAGGGTGAACGCACCAATTTGCGAGTCGCTCTGGCTAAGAGCGTCTGCTAAATGACGTTAATGTGCCCTTGAGCAAGGCACTTAACCCTAATTGCTCCTGTAAGTCGCTCTGGTTAAGAGCGTCTGCTAAATGACTAAAATGTAAATGTAAATGTAAGAGGAGAAGAGAAGATCTCTGTAAAAACTTGCATATGGTCAAAACCATTTGATTTTGAGATTGGGGTGTGAAATCCAAAGTTGTGCTATGTTTTCATTGGCTATGCCATAGCTAATTTGTAAACGATAAATATTGATACATTACTAGCTAAAACACTTAATCTGCAAAAATTACAAGTTAATTAGTGGGTGATTTCAGAACCAAAGTGGGAGAACAAAAAACATGCTACATTGACCCCCCCCCCTAATCTGATAGTGGTAGATGCCTAGTGTCCCTTATGGCTCAGTTCAGGTTCCTACATAGTACATACAACATAGACATGCATCATTTACACACAATCCTCCCCCTGTCCCCCACGCCGTCTGGCTGGTGCTGCTGTCAGCCGCGGAGTGGCTGTTCGCCTCAGGTATGGAGATGTATACTCAATACAAAAGTATAACCAACTCATCGCAGCTCTGCCACAAACATGGAAGAGGCAATTGCTTAAAAGTGAAAGGAATGACTAAGTTTGTCTGCCGCCAATCAAAAACCATGCATGGCTTAATGACTAGTACAAATCGTAAAATGGATCAGTTTCACTTAAAGTCGAGAGGTTTGACAACTATACTGCATAAAATTCAAGATAGTTGGGAACAGATTTGTCCCAATACCATGGCATTGGGTTTATGAACAGATTATAAAAATAAACATTTGACTCATCAATCTGTTCTTTTCAATTTAAACTATTCTATACATTTCTCACCACAAAAATAATGCTCAATATATGGGGCATTAAACAGTCAGCCCTGTGCAGACTCTGCCACGAAGAAACAGAATCAAGAGCATCTCTCTTGGTACTGTCGCTTTTGGAGTCAGGTCCAGGAGTGATTTGTTGAGTCATAATGTCCAGTACAAATAGAAACTATATCGCTGATTTCCACAAACTTCCTTAAAATGTATATCTAATATTTGAGAGTTGATAATGTGTGTTGTGGGACATATCCGATCCCTGCTTGTGTGTCCTGGTGTGATATATGTACTTATCTGACTGATTGTTTGTCTCCATGTGTCCAGGCTGGCATCTGAGATCTTAAAAGAGACCCATGAGGATATTGAGGAGATTGAATATCTGACTGACGGTTCATGGAGACCCATCCGAGATGAGAAGGAGAGGGACAGGGAGAGGGAACGGAGCAACACTCCTGACTATCCTGTAGTGGATATATGTAAGTGCATGTCAAATAGGGCTGGGCGGTATGGCCAAAATATCATATCACGATATTTGTAAAAAAAAAAAACGTTTTATGTTTTTGAATAATAAAAGTCCTAAATATTATTTGAGTAGTGCATAGCCCTAGGGTGGCAACACATACGTTCTAAGTGATTTCAATGGGTCCTTCTCCATTCTGATTGTTTTATACTGTTCAATCCAACTTCAGCCCCCCATAATTTCTGCATTTTCATCCATTTCTCCATTGCCTGCACTCATTTATCATTTCCACACTGTGCCACGTAGGGCTGCATGATATTGGCAAAAAATCAAGGACTAATGTTGCGATTTGACTTGCAATTTAGATCAAAACACTTGAGTGAAATGTTGGAATCATGGCCATAGAATAATTATTCTAATTCTGTAGTTGGAATATAGTGGGCAGTACTTTAAATACTTTGTTGTTTGACATTAGCCAGGGAGGAATTATTTTGATAGGGTAGTAACCAAGTGTTGGTCAGTGTTTTCCAGGGGACCCTAATTGAGATGTTACATTGCATGTTTGCTCTTACTTCATGTAGCTAGCGCTAGCTAACATATTCATGCTTTGCCTATTTCTCTCTGATTTAGAAGATACTGTTGCACAAACAACATGCTAATCTAGGCCTACACCAGTACTGGTATCAGGCTGTATAGCTAGCTACGTTTGCTCTGACTCAGTACATTTATTAGCTAGCTAACTAGCGATTTTATTTTAGCTAAGAAAAGACAAACTAGCTGTTTGCAGACAGTAAGCTGCACAAACTAATAGTATAATTATAGAACGCTTGTGGATTTATATTAAGAAGCAAAGTGTAACGCCGTATCATTGTCACCAACATCTGACCATGCAGACAGTGAACAGCAAGTGCTCGTGACTGTGGTCGAGCAAAACCTGCTCTCCTTGAGTGACAGGGCAGGGCTTGGTGTGTGCGTGCAGCAGGAGGAAGGAGAGAAATGACTCAAGTAGCAAACGGAGTAAACTATTAAAAACAGATGTAATACACGGCGGGGTGGTGGATCACATTTAACAAACCAAACATTGAAATACCGTTATAGAAGGTAAAGTAAAAACCCAAAGCGGTCCGTGCATCAATACCGGTATATAGTGAAATACGGTATTCCGCCCAGCCCTGATGCCTTCTCAAATATTGCCATTTTAGCTGTTGCAGACTAATGTTTTGATACTTCATTTAGATGCCATGCTTTGTAGGTCATATGTATTTTAGAATATACATTTTTTTATAGCATTGGTTTGTAATAGTGTGTTCACTTGTTCCCCCCATCCCAGGTGTTCCTGAGGCGAACGGCCACTCCCCGGCCCACAGCAGCACCAGCCAGACGGGGAAGTCAGGAGCAGGGTCCACAGCGGGGGGGACGGGGGGAGGAGTTGTGGTAGATCTGACTCTGGACTCTGAGGAGGAGGAGGAGGAGGAGGGGGGAGGGGCTAGAGGAGACAGCGACGACACTGAGGACAGCCAGGACAGCCCCGCCCCCAAGAGGGGCCGATACGACTATGACAAGGACCTGGTCACTGCCTACTGACTGGCGGACTGACCCCATAGACTGAGAGAGAGGGTTGGGCTAGACTGGAGGACAGGAAATCATTAGTCCCTACTACATCCCCTGCCCGCCCGCCCCCACTTCTCTGGTGTTTATCCACACACAGACACACTCTCATACATGCACTGTCAACCTCTGGAGTGGTTAGGTTTCATCTATACACCACTGGAAACAACAGCTCCCTAACACTTGTGGCCCTCCCCCTCCCAGCATTCGAAATCTGTATCCTCCCTCTTAGAGACTATTTAAAATGGTAACGTCCTCCCTAACTATTTCCCCCCTCCATCTCCTTGTACTTTGTATTTGACTTGAACTTAAGGCTCTCAAAGCCCCAAGCATTTGGTGTTTAGCCACTTTTTGTGATCGCAGGCAGTGACTGTATGGCGCATCCTCCGTAGTTCAATAGTAAGAGGTCAAGATAACCTTAATGAAGAATTTGTGACACAAGCCACAGACTATGATGAAATTGAACACCCCAACTTTTTCTTTCTGTTTAATTCATTCAGACAATGAAGACAAAGCAAATGGTCTCTGACTAACAGTATTTCAAAATGTTTTGTTTAAGTCAGAAAATCCCCCAAAATCATTGGTTTGATACTTCCCCCATTTAATTTTGTCCTTAGATGCTGACAACCTACCTCAGTCATAAATAGCGAACTTGCTTGACCAGAGAGAGTAGCACCTGAACTACGGTTGCTATAGTATTTTATCTAGGGTCTACTTTTCTTTCTTTTTTTTCTCGCTTCCTCGCATCACTTTAAAAACAATGAAATCCATTAAACATTTTATACAACTTGTACGGCCCAAATAGGGAATAGGTTATGGGAAGCAGGGTCGTGTTCATTAGGGCACACATGGCAAAATGTTTTTTTTTAATGGTTTGTAACGGAAAACAAGTGTACCTCCCTGTTTCACTCTGTTTTGGAGCGTTTTTGTTTTGTGCTGAATACGACCCAGGAGTGCTGTATCTTTGAGAAGTTCTTGTAAGTACTCCCCACTGCATTGAAATCTACGATTTCAGTTGGTGTCTGAATAGATATTCAGTATGACAAGCAATTGTCATTGTGGTGGGTAAGCAGAGACCAGCAGTTATCATTTGAGGTTTTGGAACATACTCTTTTCAGATTCTGCCCAATGTTTGTGTTGCCAGTGTTATTCATATTGATCAAGGAAACTAATCGATTATTTTCACATGGCCATTTATTGTCAGTTTTCAACAGTTGGATAGTCTGTTGAGACCAAACACTGCTGCATTCAACCTTCTTCCCCCTAAATCATGAGAGCTTTACAGTGTTTTGAACCAGATTAGAGTTTTTCTTTCAGTTTCTTAAATTTGTTGAAATTATTTTTTGTTGAACAAGGCTCTTGACTAAAGAATGTCACAAATATTAGTATCCACACAAAACGGGTCAAAACCATGTTGAGGCAATTGTGCCAAAGCAGATGTGTCAATTATCTCTTGTTGCTAGGTCAGATTTGGGTGCCTTTTTTGTTTTGAGTTTAGATTGGTGGAGGCTGGAGCCCACAGTTGTTTGGCTATTTGAGCTGGTCTACACAGGAAGTCCCAGTAAGAAAATACATTATTTAAGACGGTTTGTCATTATTTACTGTTAAATTTTTTACGGAGTGGGGGACTTAAGGAGGGATGTATCTCCAGATGTGGAATGGTATTGATTTGTGAGTGTCGACATCCTTTTTGACTTATCTTTGTCTAAAGTATAGTATTTATTAATAATTGATTGCGTCACAACTTTGTTTCATTTGAAAGGCAGTTTGTATTAAATTGTACATATGTGGCAAGCAAGAGAGTGCTGTACCAGAGCCATTTATATATGTCTCTGTACTCTACACGAGTTCCCAGTAAGGGGTAGCAGAACACTTACGAAGCTGGGACTTTTTTTGTGAATGAATACGTGGCAGACTGAATGATCCAGGCTCAAGGCACTGCCATTGTTAGACATGTCCCTTTCAATCTGAGTAAACTGAGTTCTAACCAATATCACATCCTGCCTCCTCCCACTTCAACGATATTACCCTCAGAAATCAGCCTTTATTATGGCTGCTTCAGATTAGCTTTTTCCACAGGCACAGTTCAAATTGTAGTAAACATAGTTCATCTTTTGGGTTAAAACGGTTGCTGAGACTTATATTGAGACTTTTATATTTTTGTTCCTGGTCATTAGATTCCTCACCCCAGCGATAGTCCCCGTTTGAATTTGTACTGTTTATGGCATTTGTCTACTTTCAGGATTTTATAGAACTGAGTCTGTTGTAAATTCCTAGAATATCTCAAATGGTATTGGTAATACATGCATTTGACTATAGCATAAGCATATTTACGTTTTGTGATCATCCTGAATTCAGACTTGCATAGACACTCAGTACTGTATGAGGAAGCCATTGTGTGCAAGGTGTAGTAGTATACCTAATCTAATAATAAGGAGATGGTATTGACTGAGGAAACGTATGGGATCTAGTCTTCCACTTTTCTGCAGTACTCATGACATTTCCATATATATATAGCTTGCGGATTGTTATACCAATAGGTGAGTTTTGAAAACATTAAAGGTAACCCGCATTGTTTAATGGCATTTTCTCTGTCAAAGAACCCCAAACCGTAGCGGTTCCCTGAATATGACCATAGTTGTATGATTCATGCATTTTAAGCAACATGTTATTACGTCTAGCAGAATTTCATCCTCAACTAAGCCAATCTATCCAACAAATTACTCTACAGATTTGAGTCACATTGTTTTAATTTATAAGTGTAGAACAACACTGCGCAGATAACAGATTTCCTCAAGCTTTTTCATTTTGCGAGAGAGAGGTGAAGTACAGGTTGTTTCTGAGGAACTGAGCCAGATGAAGGTGAAACCTGGGTTAGGGTCCAGAGTGGGTTTTAAGCAAATGGAGGATCCGGTCTTGTTAGTGGCATCCCTTCTTATTATAACAATGCTTAAGGTAGCATGGGCAGAGCTTGCAATCCATGATGTAAATGTTTTGTTTGTCTTTTTTTATATCTTCATATGAAAAGACAATACAATTAAAATAATATTTTATTAAGCTTTGAATCGCCTCCAGTTGTTCCAAAAGTCAGACACAATAAAATCACAAATACCAGTATTGGAACTGATGCAACTTTAGGGGTAAGAGAGGTGTTTGGGTCGTCACTAGTTACCACAGCCACAAAGTCATAATTATGGCTAAATGTCGCCTATTTCTACAATTTATCTTCTTAAAATCTGACTTTAACCTTAACAACACTGCTAACCTTATGCCTAACCTTAAGACCAAAAAGCAAATGTTCGTTTTCATGAGTTTTTACAGTATAGCCATTTTTGACTTTGTGGCTGTGGTAACCAGTGACAACCAGGCGGTTGTGGTGTAGATTGGTGTGATGTCCTTTACCTGATGCTGGGGCCTCAGGGACACATTTGTCTCCTTTTCAAAAATAACTGTCAAATTCTAAATAATCATATTCTAACACCTGTTATTTACTTGTGGAATTCAACTTTTTTTTTTTGTTTTTTTTTTTTGAATTGTCTGCAAATTCATGTTAGCTTGAAAAGTAACTGAACTTCCTTCTGGAAAAATAAAGTTATTCAAAACAGAAATCATGATCAAATCACTTTTGCCAGTTTTTCCCCATGGCTAGATTTCCCTCAAGTTTAAACACTAAAATTAAACATTAATAAAATCAAACCATTTGAAAAGTTAAGTAAGTTTGTAAATTTAGAAGAGAAAGTACATAGTAGTTGAGTTGTTAGGCCTAGTTGTTGAAAACGGCTTCATTGTAATTTCTACAATGTGTCATTGGAGGTCGCTATTTATGAAACAGGGCTCTCTTAAAATCCCGCGATAGGTCAATTGCTACAGCATGATGGCTCAGGCTCGCGATTTTTGGAAGACTCCCTATGTTGCTGCTTCCTGTACCGAAACCCCGAATTCCGTCTCCGCAACCAAGCTTCACACCCCGGCCCCATACAGGGGAAGGTCTACCGGTGTACCCCTTTCACTTTCGAAGGCCAGTCATCCTCCGTCAGTGACCAGTCATCCCTGTCAACCACCGCCGTTGTACTTTTCGCGAGACTTGAGTGGCGAGGGCCGCTCTGATTTGAGGAAAGCAGCACACGATTTTCGTAGGGGAGGTGGTGCTAGCTGGACAAGAAGCGAAAGGAACAGTAATGTGTACAAATATAGTGTACTGTTATAGCTAGTTTGTTTTTGAAATATTCCTTACTCGTTAGCGATCTAAATAGTAAAATGCACCTGACCTGATGGTGACGTGTATGTGTGATTGTCCTTACAAACATCATCTATCTGTCATGCTCGCAAAGTAACTAGTTGGCGAAGCCACTAACAGCAAGCAACATTTACCCCTGTTGCTGTTTTAGAACAACTTTGAATTATCAGTCCATTGTACTGATTTGCGTCGGAAAGTCGTCCAGGGCACTGTAAAAGATTTCGATATGGCTCCGAAGAGAAGACCCGTTCCCCTAAATATCACGCCCATTGGAGAGGGGCAGTCCATCTCCACAACCATCGATGCTGCGTCCGAGTGAGTACTCGCGAGGGCCGAGAGTATGTCTATTGTGTACTATACTGATATTGGGCAAATTCTGGTTCTGGGGACTAGATGCACAATTTTGTTCCAGCCTAACACTAACCTAAGTAACACTAGACTAACACACCTGATTCAAACCAATCATGGCCTCAGTGATTAGTCGTATCCATGTGCACCCCAATGTCCCCAGGACCAGGATTGAAAATATGTTTGTTTAATATTGATCTGTGCCACGCTCACTCAATGCATTGCCACTTCTCAGAGCCAATCTGGAGGCCTTACAGAAGAAGCTAGGAGAGCTAGATTTGGACGAACAGCAGAGGAAACGTCTGGAGGCTTTCCTCACCCAGAAAGCCCAAGTGGGCGAGCTGAAAGATGATGATTTCCACCCCATATGTGAGCTGGGCGCTGGCAACGGTGGAGTGGTCAACAAGGTCCGCCACAAACCCTCCAGACTGGTCATGGCCCGAAAGGTGAGTCTACCCTTGTATCTACTTTTGACATTTCTCACTAAACTCAGTTGTAGATCCACACTACACTACTAGCCTTGTGTGCCAGGCTTCTAGGCTGAGACATACAGCCGTTGAGTCAGCTCTCCCTCTCACTCCACACACACACACACACGTCTGTTTAATTCTGGTTTATGGCTCTGAAACTGATAAATGTATTCTAGATGAGCACTTGATTATTCTTATGTTGCTCTCATCTGATCCTCTCCTCCACAGCTCATCCACCTGGAGATTAAGCCTGCCATCAGGAACCAGATCATCAGAGAGCTGCAGGTGCTGCATGAGTGCAACTCTCCCTACATCGTGGGCTTCTACGGGGCCTTCTACAGCGATGGAGAGATCAGTATCTGTATGGAGCACATGGTGAGCTTCTGAGAGAGACCGGGTTTGAGTTGAGGGGGTGGGTCGGTCGTAGGACAAACATTGTGCTGGAATGATGCCACTTGTCTTAAAACAACTGTGTGTCTGTGGCAAAAAGGCTGATGTGTGAATTAGAATTTTGGCTGAGAGTATGAACATTTGTTTGTGGTTTTGAGACTGCAATGGTGCTTATTACAGGACCTGTGGCATAACACTAACAAACCAGTTGTAACTTTGTTTTAACAAGTTAAAATGTTGCAGTGGTTGTTATGATATATCTTAATCATGTCATGCACCTGGAGCAATTGTGCATTACAGTATGACAAAACAATACAGAATGCAGACCATGTAGACATTAAACCGAAGACTGTTGGGTACAGGATGGAGGCTCTCTGGATCAGGTGCTGAAGGAAGCCAGGAGAATCCCTGAGGAGCTCCTGGGCAAAGTCAGCATAGCCGTGAGTATTACTCCACTTAATTAATTAAGATTTCAATTAATTATTTGTGCTTAATTGGTGGTGCTTGCTTTCATTTGGTATTTTTTCATAAATACCCAAGGTATGTTTATTCTGAATAGATGAGTTTTACAAATTTATTGTTGCTCTAAACGCAACAACTTCACAGTTAGTCACAAGTGTGATCAAATCCACTCTGTTCCTTTCCCTTGTGGTTAAGGAGTTTTTTGTTTCTCAATGGACTGCTTTTTCTCCTGTCATTGTGATAATCATGAGGCAGGATCCTCAACGTGCAAGGCCTTCTCACTGTTCTCACCATTAACACTGTCTGCGTCAGTGCGTGTTTTGATGTGATATCCTGTATGGACTAAACTATGGACCCAGGCAGGGTAAAACATCTCAGAGCTGGTCTTTGTGTAGGATTTCAGGTCCAGGAAGTGTGGATGATGATACACTGTCAAGAGTATGTTGTGTTAAATAAAATGTTTGCATATCACTCTTAAAGGTACTCAGAGGACTTGCCTATCTGCGGGAGAAGCACCAGATCATGCACAGAGGTAAGAGACAGCTCTCTATTATGTTTTTGTGCATATAAACTATAAGATTTGAGACCCTGGGTGTAGTGTTTATTTGGACAGCGTGAATTAATGTGAGGTCCATAGTGTGTTTGGGTGTATCTGGAGTTGAGGGGATGTAACCTACTGTACCCTATTGGTTTAACGTTTTTGGTGTATAGTGTGGTTTTGGAGCTGACGGCGGTGGTGGAGTGTTTTGAGCTGAGGGTCGTGGTTTACATTGTTTTGAGTTAAGGGCCCTGGTTTGTGGTGTTGTATGTGGAGCCGATGGGTGGGCTCTGGTGTGTCGTGGTATGGTGTTGTTCTGGAGCTGAGGGCCATGATGTGTTGTGGCAGGGCTGAGGCAGAGCTGTCTGGGAGCCCAGGCGGTAATTACAGGCTCTCAGATGTGATTACATGGCAGCCGCGCCCTGCAGCCCCCTCTCTCCCTCTCTCATACTCGCCCCTGTGTCTCCTCTGAAGTGGGAGGGGTCACCACAGAGGATGGATGTCAGGTCTACAACCCCATTATTCAGTTTATTTTTTCCAGACTGTTTGTGACTAGGGGGATTGAGGAGGATTTGGCTTGTTTGTATGGTCTCAACTGCAACTGTAGTGTTCAGCGCTAGCTACCAGAATTGGAGTGGCTTTGTGAAATGTGTCAGTGTTGAGGTGTCTGGCATGGTAGAGGGGCTTGGACAGGGGGACGTGGTGAAGGGGCAGCTGGTGCTGCTGGGTCTGGGACCTCGGCCTTCTCGCTCTCTGGGACCTCAGCCCTCTCACTCTGGGACCTCACCTGTCGTCCCTCCCTGCTCTGACACGCAGACGTCAAGCCCTCCAACATCCTGGTGAACTCGCGTGGGGAGATCAAGCTGTGTGACTTTGGCGTGAGTGGCCAGCTCATCGACTCCATGGCCAACTCCTTCGTGGGAACGCGCTCCTACATGTCGGTGAGTCAGCTTTCCCTCTCCCTCCCTGCCCAGGCCGCCCTGCCAAGAGCTGAGGCCATGCCCAGGAGTGGGGCATGGAGGCAGGCGCTGCCAGCCCTGCCCCTCCCCTCAGACACCTGGAGGGCGCGGTGCACAGAGCCGACCTCCCTGCCTGCCCACTTGGCCCGCTCTGTCTGCGTGTGACGTACATGTGTGTTCCTCAACAGCCGGAGAGACTGCAGGGCACACACTACTCGGTGCAGTCGGACGTGTGGAGCATGGGCCTGTCCCTGGTGGAGCTGGCCATCGGCCGCTACCCCATCCCCCCGCCTGACGCCAAGGAGCTGGAGGCCATCTTTGGCCGGCCCGTACAGGACGGAGCCGAGGGGGAACCACACACCATCTCCAACCGCCTCCCCAGACCACCTGGAGGACGACCAGTCAGCGGTGAGAACTGACCTGAATCCCCTCCTCCTCACACATGATAATACAATGTAGATGATATTAGTGCTTTTCAAACAGATTTCTTTTTGCTTTTCAATAAAAAGTAACTGGAATCAAAAAGAATATAACATTTTTTGAAATTATTTTATTTATGATATCTAAATATCTCTCCATATTCTCCTCTTCCTCAGGACATGGGATGGACAGTCGACCTGCCATGGCTATATTTGAGCTGCTGGACTACATTGTCAATGAGGTCAGATGAACTGCTGACTCCACATATTATTCTCCTTATTACCAATTCTCCTTGTCTGTGTGCTCTGGTGATCTTTTAAATAACATTTGTTGTCTTACACACCTTTTCCTCATTCCCAGCCTCCTCCCAGGCTGCCACTTGGTGTCTTCACCAACGATTTCAACGAGTTTGTGACAAAATGGTGAGCCCAAGGATTGATCATATAAGAATAGTACCAATTACCTCAGCACCTTTTATCGACAGCATAGAATCCCCAGTTGTTTTACAATGACTTTTCTCTGTTTGGTGGCTGTGTGTAGACTCAACACACGTCTGTAGGCAATAGGCAGACCATAGAGCAATGTGGAGCAAACGTACGTTTAAAGGTACTTTTCTCACCTCTTGAGAATGATTTAGGCCACGTCAGCAGAATGAGATTTATTGTGCAGCTTAACCAAACTCAATAAACTTCTGGAGGGTTTAGAGAGAAACATCTTCCATAGTGGAGAAAGCGTTCCTTTAATTCTTCTTTGGTGGGGGGGGGTTCTAATGATTTCTCGGGAGTCATGGAGATGATCAAATGTTTGTGTTAATAGTCTGATCAAGAATCCAGCAGAGCGAGCTGACCTGAAGATGCTGATGGTGAGTAGCTATTAACTGTTGACTGTTATTTGAAGTGCATCTATGGACAGTGAGGGAAAAAAGTATTTGATCCCCTGCTGATTTTGTACGTTTGCCCACTGACAAATAAATTATCAGTCTATAATTTTCATGGTAGATTTATTTGAACAGTGAGAGACAGAATAACAACAACAAAATCCAGACAAACGCATGTCAAAAATGTTATAAATTGATTTGCATTTTAATGAGGGAAATAAGTATTTGACCCCCTCTCAATCAGAAAGATTTCTGGCTCCCAGGTGTCTTTTATACAGGTAATGAGCTGAGATTAGGAGCACACTCTTAAAGGGAGTGCTCCTAATCTCAGTTTGTTACCTGTATAAAAGACACCTGTCCACAGAAGCAATCAATCAATCAGATTCCAAACTCTCCACCATGGCCAAGACCAAAGAGCTCTCCAAGGATGTCAGGGACAAGATTGTAGACCTACACAAGGCTGGAATGGGCTACAAGACCATCGCCAAGCAGCTTGGTGAGAAGGTGACAACAGTTGGTGCGATTATTTGCAAATGGAAGAACTGTCAATCTCCCTCGGCCTGGGGCTCCATGCAAGATCTCTCCTCGTGGAGTTGCAATGATCATGAGAACGGTGAGGAATCTGCCCAGAACAACACGGGAGGATCTTGTCAATGATCTCAAGGCAGCTAGGACCATAGTCACCAAGAAAACAATTGGTAACACACTACGCCGTGAAGGACTGAAATCCTGCAGCGCCTGCAAGGTCCCCCTGCTCAAGAAAGCACATATACAGGCCCGTCTGAAGTTTGCCAATGAACATCTGAATGATTCAGAGGAGAACTGGGTGAAGGTGTTGTGGTCAGAGGAGACCAAAATGGAGCTCTTTGGCATCAACTCAACTCGCCGTGTTTGGAGGAGGTGGAATGCTGCCTATGACCCCAAGAACACCATCCACACCGTCAAACATGGAGGTGGAAACATTTTGCTTTGGGGGTGTTTTTCTGCTAAGGGGACAGGACAACTTCACCGCATCAAAGGGACGATGGACGGGGCCATGTACCGTCAAATCTTGGGTGAGAACCTTCCCTCAGCCAGGGCATTGAAAATGGGTCGTGGATGGGTATTCCAGCATGACAATGACCCAAAACACACGGCCAAGGCAACAAAGGAGTGGCTCAAGAAGAAGCACATTAAGGTCCTGGAGTGGCCTAGCCAGTCTCCAGACCTTAATCCCATAGAAAATCTGTGGAGGGAGCTGAAGTTTCGAGTTGCCAAACGTCAGCCTCGAAACCTTAATGACTTGGAGAAGATCTGCAAAGAGGAGTGGGACAAAATCCCTCCTGAGATGTGTGCAAACCTGGTGGCCAACTACAAGAAACGTCTGACCTCTGTGATTGCCAACAAGGGTTTTGCCACTAAGTCATAATAATAATAATAATAATAATAATATGCCATTTAGCAGACGCTTTTATCCAAAGCGACTTACAGTCATGCGTGCATACATTTTTGTGTATGGGTGGTCCCGGGGATTGAACCCACTACCTTGGCGTTACAAGCGCCGTGCTCTACCAGCTGAGCTACAGAGGACCACAAGTCATGTTTTGCAGAGGGGGTCAAATACTTATTTCCCTAATTAAACTGCAAATCAATTTATAACGTTTTTGACATGTGTTTTTCAGGATTTTGTTGTTATTCTGTCTCTCACTGTTCAAATAAACCTACCATTAAAATTATAGACTGATCATTTCTTTGTCAGTGGGCAAATGTACAAAATTAGCAGGGGATCAAATACCTTTTTCCCTCACTGTAGTTGGACAGTTCAGCTCTGTTTGTTCATTGGTCCTCTGTAGCTCATGGTCCTCTAGCTCAGTTGGTAGAGCATGGCGCTTGCAACGTCATGATAATGGGTTCGATTCCCGGGACCACCCGTACGTGAGATGTATGCACAAATTAATAAAAGCGTCTCCTAAATGACGTATTCTACTATATTTATTATATAATTGAGGTTTGTAACCACATTTTGTAGTTTGCAAATTGGCTATGTTCCCTACTGTACATGCCCTTTCGATATCAGCCATGGACTAATATTGATGTGTTAACTAACATGCGTTTACTGTTTGTTATTGTTTAGAACCACACGTTTATCAAGCGTGCTGAGGTGGAGGAGGTGGACTTTGCTGGCTGGATGTGTAAAACCATGGGCCTCAACCAACCCAGCACCCCCACCCGTGGTAGTGAATGAGCAGCCCAATGCCAAGCTGCTTCCCACACCAGGATCCCCGGTGTCTCATTGTCACACACACTTTGACACCCCTTTCATCTTGCTCTTAAGAGGTTTCAGCTCTTTCTTAAGTATACTTATCATCAACAGGGCCCATTTACTCATTGTATGACCACATATTTCCCCATACCAGTGTCAGGGTAGATCCATACACATCATGCTATTTTCTCCTATCATCTTATTAAAGATCAGGTATAAAGCATGGAAGGACTGCCAGTTTATCATTTCATGAATTGCCATTGATATCATCTTACCACTTTTGTATTGATACATTCTGTATTATGTTCTATGGTGTGAGAGTTGTTCATGGTTTGTGCAACAGCATATTGATGTAGGCTGTAGAGGGGCTATCTTTGACAATGAAAAAGTGTCCATGACAGAAATCAAGTTAAGTGCTTTGAAGGTACAGGAGGGCTGCAAACCAAAGAAGGTTCTCATCATGACTAATGTTTTGGATATAATGCCTGATCAAAGTACCTCGTTTTGTACATTCATGACCAGTACAGTTTTGAGAGAGGAGTACTTTGAATGTTGACATTTTGATTTGATTATAATGGTAATTAAACACATCAAATGTGCTCATTTTACAAAATGGCATGATTTACCATTTTATATTTTCCAGACACCCGAGATCATGTTTTTTTTTTTTTTTTAACGTGTATTTGTATCAACTGCCAGGAACGCTCGTGTCAAGTTAGAATCTCTCTAACCTTGACTACAGATGCTCTGAAGGGTTCTGATTTTTTGCCAGTCTACTCAACTTATTCCCCCGAGTGTTTCGGTTCTGCTCCACTGTTTTGCTTTGCGTGAGTAAGTGTAACCTACGCTCCAAGCTTTCTCTTTGTGAAGTCCCAGCGTGGTTGTAACATGTATTAGCCTGTCGTCTATAAGAGCCCATGTATTCTCTGCTGGCTGATTTTATAATTCCCAACAGACTTGCATTTGTTGGTAACAAAGTGGATGCATTGTAGCCTGTAGGTGTATAAAGCTATAAACAGTACGCAAGTACTATTTAGCAGTCTTAAAAATGTTTTTGACTCGTTTAAAGGTAAATGGAAGAGATGTCATTTTATTTTAAGAAAATGTGTTGGATACGGTTATAATGTAAAAATAAAACTTTGTGAATGTTTATGGCAATTTGTTTTTATGTGGGAGGATTTTGTGGTTAGTAATATAAAAAATATTGGAAGAACTGAATGGCGTTGCCCTCTTGCAGGAGCGTTCCTTTAGATGAGACGTGTAGAAAGCACTCCGAGGACCCTACCTGAGGCTTACGGGGAAAGATTGGAGGTAACAAGTCCCAAAGGATGTTCTTTACTCAGGTTATAACATGCTACACATCCTCTAAGGCAGATCTATGCGGAATGTGCAACATATTTCCCAAGTATCTACATACTATTACAATAGCTTTCACCCAGATAACTGCTTTGGATACTTCTATTAAAACTACTTCTATGATATTTATCTCAGCATTGTTCTTCAGTATAGTTTGACTAAAGTTTCTCTCGCCTTTGGCCTGAATTAAATCAAAACCATGGCTCAGCCACAAATGACAAAAGCAGAGTTGTTGGTGGGTGTCTGTGGTGGGGGGAGCACTAGTTTATATTGGACTGTGAAGACTGTTGTAATAAACATGGCTGACCTCTGGAGAGCTACCAGAAGGGAAAATTAACCAGTTTGACGGTTTGTTAATTATTTCAGATTTGTATGAAAATTATGTATTGTAGCTATATCTTTCTCTTAGCTGTAACTCACTTTTAAGCAAAGTAGAATTGTATTTTTTTTTTTTTTTAAACATTCATTTTTAGCCGTGTAAATCGTTTATATTAAGTGTGGAACATGTATAGCATAGATCCTGATCAACTGAAATGATCCTGCATTTTTAAATATAGTATGCGTTTTGTCTGATTGTGAACTACCTCTGCTACCTACTGTAGTGCAGACACTGCCCTCTAGGCTGGGTATGTGTTACTGCCTCTCCCCATTCTGTCAGAGCATGCCTAGCCTAGTTCTCCCCACAGTGCCAAGCCATGCCACACAGTGGGGTGCATCAGATTCCAATCAGACCGAAGAGACACCATTCATGGCTAGCTGTTTCATCACATTACATAAGGTAAGCCATTTCACCTCATACATGATAAATGCATTCATACTCCGTGTGTAGGCCAGTCAAATATAGTTTAGAGTATGGAAGATCTCCATCCCACTCTACTGCAGTGTGACTGACTGTGACTGTCCAGGTGTACAGTGTAGAAAATGTGCGTAGGCGTGTTAGAAATCAGTAAAAATGAGTTGTCCTTATAAACGATATAAAGCCAAGTGATTGATTTTGACTGGTGTCTTACACGCCGCCTAAGAAACATTGGTGAAAGTGGGCTTGGTATAAATGAAGAGGTGAGGCATGTTCTAAAGCCTTACCTGTATACAGGTATTACTGTACAACGTGAGAAGGGGGAGAGACGGGAGGTATGAGTGTTGAGGGGGTTGCTGTGTCCTGGAATGTGCCAAGGCTTGTTTTTGGGGTGGGACACTAGGACCTCAGGCTATGGGATGGGTGGGTGCGACTCATCTCAAGGCGCGAGAGAGCGATACAGTAGGAGAGAAGAGAAAAGACGAGCAACAACTATAATCAGATCATGGCCAATTAATCTGGATGCTATTTACAACTGTATCGACATATATTTTCAAAACTAAGAGGATGAAGTCAAGTACTCATTTGTCATTTTTTATTATGTGATTGATATGACGAATGTCCACTCTTGATCGCAGGTGAATATCTCTTTTACTTTGCTCCCCGGAGAGGAGAGGAAGAGCAACATTGAGGGGAATGCTGTTTCTTTAAGAGAGAGGGAGGGAGAGCGAGAGAAAGGGAGGGACCTCTTTGCCCTCCAGAAACCAGGAAGGGAATTGAGTTTATCTGCTGCTGCTTGGTTAGCGCATATGGGGCTTTGAGCAGCACGACAGTTAGAGAGAGAGAGAGAGCTCCAGAGAGGAGGAGAGGAGGGCTGAGCTAACCCACAACAAGCACCACCACGGCCATCGCAGGTGAGCTAAAGGCACCCCTGCCTACCCCCCACTGTCCACCCAGGGCCTGTCGACAGGAGGGAGCAGGCACAGGAGGAGAGGAGAATGAGGGAGGGGGACAGAGAGAGAGACGAGAGACCAAGGGGGTGGGTGAGATGGGTCACAGGCAGTAGTTATGGTTCTGTTTTTATTCCTGCTAAACTACTTCTCTGATTCCTGCTTTTACCTTTTGGGCTTGCTATGATAACGTTTTATTTGGTTTGTTTGAGGCATTAACTTTTCAGGCAGGTGGAAGCACTTAGGGGAGGAGGAGGATGGGGACGTTCAGGAGGGTGGGTTCTAAAGAAGAGGAAGGAGGAACCAAAACTAATTTTATAGGACAAGGTACGATGACAAGCGAATGACTTTTCGGGATGGTGTCATTCACTAAGAAATCATGCTTGGAGAGAGAAGTTACGAACAATGCGTGTTAAATATATTTTAGCTTTATTGTACATTCTTTCCTGCTGTTTTGGAATTTATCAGAATAAGAATGTGTTCATTTAGGTCAGGAGTCTTGATGTGTGTTTAAAACCTAGACAGAGGGGTTGTGTCACTGAATGCTACCCCAGTGTTTGGCTGTGGCTTAGACAGTTCTGGTCGAGACCCATTTCTTCGTATGCAGCACGGCCCTGTTTGATGGCTGGTCTGTACTTTTAATACCTGGCATTCTGCTAGCAACATCCTGAAGTGTATAATTCAGCCCTGAGTGCTTACGTTGGAACAGGCTTGGAGAAGTGGGGGTGGTGAGGGACGGAAAGCTGGGACTCGTAGTTCGCAGCAGGGGCTGTGAAACAGGTCAAATAGTGTTTAAGGACTCCACATCCCAGAGTGCCTTGCCCTTGGCCATACAGGAAAGGGAACAGCTGCCAGCCTATCCCAGCAAGGAGGTGTGGTGAGTGAGCAGCTGTCAAGCCAATCACAGAGGGGGAAGAGATGCCAGAGCGGAGCAGTGGGCTGAAAATAGAGGGGGGTGGTAGGTGTCTGCTTGTTTGGGATCAGGCAAGGGCTTGCCTGTATGACTAGGGCCACTCGGAAGTTTCCTGTCTGCAAAAGCTCCAGTACTGAGGCACCAGGCAGGGCCCTGCTCAGACACGGAGACAGCAGAGCAGGCAGGAGAGCCGGACAGGGCCTGGGGAAGGGACATACGCTTCTGCTTCAGCCCAGCTGGTAAGAGCTCAAACTGCACTCTCTCCTGACACTGAGGAGAGTGAAAGAGGAGGGGGAGAGCTTAGGAAATAAATACCAGGATCTGCGTGTGTAAGAGAGAGAGATGGGGCTTGGTAGAGTTCAGAGTTCCTGACCCACTTGCAGATAAAAAAGAGACGGCAAATAGGGCACTGCTCAGAGCAGGTTGAGCACATCATGTTTAGAGAGACTGTTGTTGTCTTAAAGTTTTGGCAATACACACTGTGCCCTTTTAACCCTTTACTTACTGGGTTGATTTAAATGAGTAGTTGTTAATCTAATCATCTGAAATAGTGTTATTGTGTGTAATGTTAATGCTTATTGTTGTTGTTATTAATGTATGAGACTAGGAATAAGGGAGCCAACTGCAGATCCTTTATATATCCTTACCTCCAGGCACAACTGTGACGGGATGGAAGAAAATGTGACACCTCTTGTAGACAATTTCACCTCGTTAGTGGAGTGTAGTAAACGAGCTGCCATAACACAATCACAGCACATGGAACCTTGAGCAACTGGAAACTTTACCCTCTGCCCTTGAACTCCTTTATTCGTTTATTAACTTTCAGTTCTTCTCCACGGCTGCCCACACCCTTTTTGTCATTCTCTACATCCCCCTTGCCTCAAGTAGCCCCTATGGCATTGTGTGATTTGTGTCACAGCTTCATTTAGTCTACGGTATCTGTCCGTACATTGGTGGTTTGTCAAAAAAGACGTTGCAGGAACATACATTATTTTTCTCATTCATGGATGCATATTCCTGGCAACACATACTTGTTGGACTTGTTTTGAAGTGTGCGGGTACAGCGAGAGAGGGAGGGGAGTGGTTTATTGTAAGACGTCCAGACTCAGGGAAGTGTTTGGTTAGCTTTCAGAGACAGAGTTTGAAACATTATTAATTCTGTCAAATGTTACAGTGTTGATGTCATAATGTTACTCATGCCACTCCTGAGTGCCAATTGCAAAAGGCTGTACTTTCTTTCAGCCTGAGTAAATTCCACTAAGAGGTTAAGTTGGGAGACTCCATGTTACCCACAATAGACTCAAGAGGAATTGTAGGGGACTTCAGTAGCTGTGGGTAGGCCCTAGACACCACCCATCAATTTGGCGGTGAGCATGTTGAATACAGTTTGATATTCCTGTATGTTATGCACTATAATGCCCCAAACTAGCAGGTCCACAGTGACAGGAGGAGACAGGTTGCATGCTATTACACTGCCAGGCCTTGGAAGGCCTCGTTTTTTTGGGTTATGTTGCTTTTGGGTGGTGCACTAAACTATAAGCTGCCCCCCTTATTAAGGGTAAACTCCCCTTGTCAGCAGCTAAATGTCCCACTGCTCCTGGCTCAAGCTGACAAACAGACAGACAGGGCTCTGTGTGTTGTGTTGTTGTCGTGGAGTCTTGGGGGAGTCATAGGGGCTGTTCTGGGCCTGCTGGTTTATGAAGCAAGCAGCTCACACAACCTGATCAAATTAGAGGCTGAGATGCAGCCCAAGGTTAGACTAGGCCGTTGTGTTGTGAGTCACGTACATTGTTTACTTTTATGGGGGTGGGTTGTCTCCAAGATGTCACACGTTTTTTTGTGGCTTTGCTGGATGTTGTCGTTGTTTTTATACATTAGACTCGAGACAACCTTAAACATTTGGTTTTTCTGACAACTATTGTCTGAGTGAGTAATCCCATGTTGACCTAAGGCACTACGTAGGGATAAATGAGAGTTAGCCAAACTCTCCTGTGATCATGGGAGGGTACCATATGACAATCTCATGGTTGGTGAGTTCTCATCTCTAGACGTGGGCTGGTGGGTGGGTGTTTTAGCTTCCCCAGAAAGCTGAAGGGGAAGTGGGCAATGTGGTGGGCCGGTGACTGAGAGAGCAAGCGAGAGGGAGAAAGAGGGATGGTCATCTGATAACAGAGTGGGTTCTGTTACACGCCTGTCACAGACACACAGGAAGTCCTCTGCCTACAATGTACGGCAGCGCACACAGATTGGCTCAGGGGAGGAGTTGCTGCTGGACTTGGCACTATGGGTGTAGCTAACGGCCTACTAGGGGTTCTGTTTCTGGTGCCACGTGGGAGTTTGGATCCACTACTTCCTGACTGACAGCATGGCAGTGTTAGGAAAGTCTAGCTCCAGCAGCAGAAGAGGTTGTGTCTCTGTAACACTGCTGCCAGATGTGCACGGCTGTTTCTGGACCAGCTAAGTCAGGCTGGAGGAGGAAGGCAAGGAAAGCCAAGTAGAGCCTTCACTTTGGTTTACTTTACTTTGCAAGGAGGAGGGGGATGGTACAGTTAACCCATACAGTAGTGAGTTAGTGATTCCCGACAGTGGCTCTCCAGCTATCTCTTGATCTCTGGGGTAATGGTACCCTTAAAGGAATTTAGACCTTTGAAATTAAATCATAAAAATCTCCCACTTCCCCTTGCTCTAAACTTTTATTGACAAACATGATATAGGGATTTTAGATAATGGTGTCGAACCCTTCCTGCAGTGAGGGGTTAATTTCTTACAGTGGCTAAGTAAAGGTTTCTCAAGTCTCTGAGACACTTTCATTTGACAGTGTTCCGTGGGCTGATGTCAAGGTTGAGCTTTTAAGACTGCCTCACCCACTACCTTTCAGTCAGGGGCATTGTCTGATTTTTGGCAGCCATCTGCCATTTCAAGTCAAGCAGCCCAGCCCCACAACTCCAGTTTTATCAGTTGCTCACCCTCTTCCTGCTTGCTCCCAATACAACCAATCAGGCTTCCTATCCTAGCAAGCCTGGTAGTAATGACTCACACAGCCACACTAGCACTAGGCCAGGCAGGCTCAACCTCAGTCAGAATCCTGTTCTTCTTGGAACTGGCCAGCCCCCCCCCCCCCCCCCCCCCCCCCCCCCCCCCCCCCCCCCCCCCCCCCCCCCCCCTCCCCCCTCCCCTCCACATAGCATTTCTGATTATCCTGTAATATCCTCTGTGACTTGACCTTGAACCCTGGTGACCCCGGTCCAGTGATTCCCTTTCTTTGGGCTTTCATGCACTCCTGTCACTAATCATCAGGGGGCTGGGCTTATCCTGTGACAGTCAGCCAGGGAGAGACAACCTGCTTGAACTCTGCTGTCCATCTGTATTACCCAATCTATGCTTCTAGGAGTTAGACCCTGGCTTCTGCTGTCGTTGTTTCACTCTGGTTCGGTTATTCACAGATATGCTACTGATCGCCCACACACTTGCACTGCTTGTACTGCTAAGGACGCTTGTTTTCTGGTCTCTGTTGCTCCCTTCAGCAGAGCAACAAAGTATTGTGGTGTTGACTGCGCTTAAAAAGCATCATAGTAAAGAACTTAGAGTTTAAGTGACATTAATTGTTGTCATGTAAGGAACACCTGAGGTTGATCTAGGTAAGGTCGCTAGTCATTGTACTCCAGGAATGAATGGTATGTGTAGGACAGACTGTAGATCCTTTGATACTGCTTCCAGTTCACCTGAGATTATATTTCCAGGTAAACGCACCACCCAGTTTATAACCACTTTTATAACTACCGGTTTAACCACAACATATCACTGCATTGGTAATTAAATAAGAAGGGAACTAGCTAGGGGAGAAGCCCATCTATCACTCACAGGTTTTAAGAAAAACCCAGGGTTCCCCAACTGGTGGCCCGTTGGTTTTATTTGGCCCCCCAGGTTTTCTGAGCAAAAACCAAAAACATTAATTTTATTTTTGAGAATTTTCATTGTTGGACATAAGACTACATAAACACCAAGAAATCGTCTCCAAGTGATTTCAATTTTGGAAATCTATTCCCAAGTATTCCCACGCATAATAGAGAGACACGTGATCATATACAAATGTAAGCAAGGTTTGAAATGATTATGTTTTAGTCAAATATATCCATTTGGGCTGTTTGCAGTCAATTTGCAGTCTTTAAATTATTTGTAATTATGTTCCGGCCCACGACCATCCGCTCAAGAAAAAATCGGCCTGCGGCTGAATCTAGTTGATGATCCCTGTCCTAGAGTCTTGCGTTGGATCATCCCCGAAATCTCATCTTGATAGCTGCTCTCAACGTTTGCTTGGCGCACGCGCAGGGGTTAGTGTTAAGTGATGGTGGGGGAGGAGTGGGATCTGCAGCAGTAAGTAGTGGTTTGACTTGCAAAGCAGCACCCTGTGCATGCGGAGTGGGACCCAGTGAACTAGGCAGGCAGCTCTGGGTCGGTGGCAGCCCTGGGAACTGAGACGGTGTGGTGCTGCGGCCTCTGTCACCCACAGCCATGAATAAGTGATAAGGAATGTTTCAAGCCATGAGAAGGTGTCAGGATCAGGTTTGTTTGCACAGTTTCTCCTCCTCTTTCTTTCTTTGGTCATCTTTGTGGGTTATTCCTGTCCAGGGCCTCTACTCTCCCCATAGCTCCTGTGTAAAGGACAGAGCACCTGGATGCCTCAGTTGACTGTATGAGGGAGCTAGGCTGTTTTGAACTCCTCTCAGCCTCCTCTCCCCGCCACAGATCTGTGTGTGACCCAGGATCAGGCATATATGTCCTGGGGATAATGGGTAAGCAGGTTTGCACCAGGGGCCAGCCCAGCAGCCTGGTGAAGTAAGCAGCAGCATCAGTGAGAGCAGGTTGACTTGGCTTGAGTCTCTGGGCTCACCCAGGATCTATTTCCACACTGTGAAGGACGTGACCGTTATCCCTGTGGTTGCCCTCTCTGCCCTCACTCCCCTCCCACAGCATATTCAGATGAGAGCTGGAGGATAATAACATTTGCCCATGCCATGTCAGACAGGGCAGTTTTATCAGAAAGACAATGGGAGAGGTTGTAGTGGCGGTGTGGTCAGTTGCGTATCAGAATGGTAGAGGGTTAAAGGAGAAAGAGAGTAGGCTAACCGGGTTTGAGCCGAAATGAAAGGCCTTTATGTCATGAATAAAAGACACAAACTACTCTCAATGGGAGCAAGTGGGACAGTATTATTTGCATGTGCAAGGCTGCAAGCTTGTTTGTTTTAAGATTACCACGAGACAGATGTACCGGTTTTCCATGCTTAGAAAAGCATTTATACACTCAATGGCCAGTTTATAAGGTACACCCATCTAGTACCGGATCGGACCCCCCTTTGCCTCCAGTACAGCCTGAATTCTTCGGGGCATGGAAACGTTGCTCAATTGGTATCAAGGAACCGAACGTGTGCCAGGAAAACATTCCCCACACCATTATACCACCGGCACCAGCCTGTACCAATGACACCTAGCAGGATGGGGCAATAGATTTATGCTGCTTATGCCAAATCCTGACTGCCATCAGCATGACGCAACAGGAACCGGGATTCGTCGGACCAGGCAATGTTTTTCCACTCCTCAATTGCCCAGTGATCGTGTGCCTACGAGCTGCTTCTTCTTGTTTTTAGCTGATAGGAGTGGAACCCGGTGTGGTCGTCTGCTGCAGTAGCCCATCAATGACAAGGGCCGACGAGTTGTGCGTTCCGAGATGCCGTTCTGCACACCACTGTTTTACTGCGCCGTTATTTGCC